ATGAGCCGACTCTCTCTCGGAAGAATGTGTGTTGGAGAGTGGAGTAAGACAGGGAGGCTTGACGTCCCCCACACTCTTCGACATATATATTAATGATCTCATTGTCAGGTTGAGCAGTATGCGTGTCGGATGCCGTATTGACGGAGTAAGCACCAACAATATAAATTACGCTGATGACAGTGTACTGCTCTGTCCAACTGCAGGGGTTCTTAACGAGATGCTAAGGGTTTGTGAGAAATATTATGTTGAGCACGGGCTCGTATACAATGTAAAAAAGACAGAATGCATGGTGTTTAAGGCCACTGGTAAATGTTAAAGTCAATAACATTACCCTGAACGGCGTGAACATACAACGTGTATCAGAATTTAAATATCTGGGACATATAATTACTGACGACCTTAAAGACGACGCTGATATAGAGAGGGACCGTGGGGCTCTCTCAGTAAGAGGTAATATGTTGGCTCGCAGATTCTATCGTTGTAGCAAAGACGTAAAGGAGACCCTTTTTTAAGGGTATTGCCAAATTATGTACTTGGGAAATCTGTGGACCAGCTATACCAAGAAGTCGCTGGACACCTTACGAATTCAATATAATAATGTGTCCAGGATATTGTTGGGATTGCCTCGTTTCTGTAGTGCATCAGCGATGTTTGCAGAATACCAAGTTGACGACTTTGAAGCCATTATTCACAAAAAAACCACTACGCTGATATTTAGAGTGCGTGGCAGTCCCAATAGCATTGTGAGCAATATAGTCTGCTTTGTGAGGAGGGTTATTTTAAAACACAGTTATTTAAATTAAATCAAAATTGACTTCATTTGATTTTATTTTGATTGTATTTTATCTAATTTAATTAAGACATTATTTGATTTCGATTGATTTTTATTTGATTTTTTTGTTTGATTGTATTTTATTTTATTTTGACATTACTATTATTTGATTATTAGTTTTATTTTTGATTTTATTGTGATTTAATTTTGGGTATAGATTTGATTTTTTAACTTAATCTAACTCATACTAACAACTTATGGATCCTTGATATCTGAAATAAAGAATTATTATTGTTATTATTATAGAAGCGGTGCAGCCCCAAGATCACTCTGAAAGCGTTATTGTACAGGATACTGTAACTCTTTTTTATAGTATAGGGTGACAAACGAGCACACAGTCCACCTGATGGTAAGTGGTTGCTGTGACCCATAGACTTCTACATCTATCCTCGTTTGCGAATCAAAATGCAGATGCATTGTCACCCGTGAGGACTAAGATGGAATGCCTCTTTTCCAGTAAATAGGGTCTCCGGTTCTCTACACTCACCATACGAAACACAGCAGCATTAAGCTGTTATTTTACGCTGGTATTCTGTGAGAGCGTGGTCCTTTCCCGGTCGAGCCGACCCATTCGTGCTACAATTATACCCGAAATATAGCTGCAGCATGGCTCTACCACGTAAAAATCTTCGCTTATTATAATCTTCCCACAGGCTGGATGTATAGAGTGATGTATAATAAGCTCTAAATAGTGTAATATTTACCTCCTGTGATCATCGCGCAAATCTGCGGGCTATCATGTTAGCTCTAATGGACAACGCTTTCCGCTCCCGCTTAGTGTCCGCATTTTCCCTGAGATCATTAGTTATTAGATGGCCTAGGTACTTAAATTGATCGACAACCTCTAGGGGCACACTATTCAATAATACCGGTGCTAAATCCTGGGGACACTTGGTACCTGCCTTAAAGACCATACATTGACTTTTCTTTACATTGTATTTTAGACCGTGGCTACTCGCATAATCCTCACAAATCAGTTTCCTTAGGCCACAGATCGACGCACTCAGTAAAACCATGTCATCAGCGTAACTCAAATTGTTAACACAGACGCCGTCGATATGGCAGCCGACGCGCTGGCTGCTGAGAGCGTCGAACAAATCGTTCATATACAAATTGAAAAGTGTCGGAGACATTAATCCGCCTTGCCTGACTCCGCATTCGAGCCGATACGGATCGGACACTGCCCCCGCCCAACGCACGCTGTCAGATTGGTGTGAATACCAGTACTGGTATTCACACCAATCTGACAGCACACGCTGATGAGTTCCTCGGGTAAGTTTATATTTTTCAGTTTATCCCATGAACGGTTGTATCGAACTAAATCAAAATCCCTTCACAATGTTTGGACAATTCTTGGCAATTATTGGAAGAAACAGGCGTATAAGGGCGTCTTGTGGTTTGTATAACATTTAACGATATGCTTAAAACACAATATTGCACTTTCTGTCGACAGCTGCGGTTGAAACCAGAACTGGTTATCATTCGGTTTCACGTGTTTGTTTAACTGTGCATTAAGTAACCCGTCAAAAACCTTTGCTATGACAGTGACAAGGGAGATAGGCCTATAGTTACTTTTATCGGTAAGATCACCAGTTTTGTTTTTCACTACAGGTACTACAACTGTCCTCATAAAATCGGCTGGCAAGTAAGAATGGCTCACACACAGCGAATAGAACATAGTCAATACCCTCGTGACATGTGGCCCGGCGTACTGCAGGTGCTCAATACTAAGGCCGTCATGTTCCGGTGACTGATGATTTTAAATAAGAATAAATTCTGGGCAAGTTTTTTTTATTGTTACCTTTGTTAACAACATCGCCTTTAGAACTGGAACCGTAAGTGTTTATGCCCAAATTTGATCATGTTGAACGCCATCTAATTGCGTTCGAGCTGTCGCGTCACCCGATAGTATGTAGGTGAAGAAACGCCGCCTCTTAATATACTTTTTATAGCTTTTGAAATATCTTTCGCAAGAAACGCGGTCGTTACCACTTGACTACTCATGTTATTATTAAGCACCCCCCAGCTGGGCCCAGTGGCGAATTAATAGAAAAAATGTCCTTAAAGACATTTGCAATCTCCTTGGGATCATTTACGCCATCAACGCTTACAGGAAGGCCAGGTCGTACATTAATTTTACTAGTACTTTTCCAGAAGCCCTTAAAGTTCCCCTTTGAATGCTTTTCTGCAAGAGAGTCCATTTTATTTGTTTTTGGTGGTCTTGGCACCACTTTGATCTGGACTTGAAAATTCGTCTGCTTTCACACATTTCTTGGTAAACAGGACCTGACTTCGGCTTTCCGTACATCACCCATTCATGGAACTTATACGTAGCCTCCCCATGAGCCGCGCCAACTTGTTTGTTTCAACCCACTACGCGCGAGCCACTCCCATCCCCTCCTCTCCTGTTTCTACGATTTGCACCACTGCGTCACGAAGAACGGTCACAATGTCGGTGTGAAGCGTATCTAGAGTACGCCAATGGCCACGGTCATTACAAGCACGATCAGCAGAGCTCACACTATCTGAAGGAAAGTCAATCAATCTCAGTCTCTTATGACACTCACTGGTGTACATAGTTATTTGTTTAACACTTTTTTCACTCCATAATATATCTTTATTAGCATTAATAATTTTACGCAATATTTTAGGGGTTAGTAATTTTAAGTCGCAATGTATAATTAGCGGGAAGTCGTCGGACCATTGAGTGTCATATATTACATTAACATTAATCACAGACTGCTTTGCCGACTGCGTAGTAATACAGTGATCCAGCCATCAGATCCCAAACACATCACTAATAAAGGTAATAGTCCCCAAGTTTAACCCTAATATCTCTATATCTATGCATGACCACAGGTGGTCATTACATATATTAATAACTTGCCACAAAAACTGGGACACTGTCCAGCTCCGTAGTTTTAAATAAGTTTTTAGTATCTGCTACGTCACGCTCTTCTTTCCCTTTATTCTTTCGTAATATTTTTCTTTTGTTCGTTGGGATAAACTCAAACAGAAGTGTCGTGGAGTTTTTAATATTTTCACTAGTGAATGTCGACGTACAAATACGCACTAGAGTTTTCTCGTCTGCGATTGATACTTTATTTTGTATATATGACAACATCTCGTCGATGACGATGTTACATATATTGCACTTCACAACGTTCGTCATATTTATTGAAATCCTTAACGCAACGTAGGTAAAAGGTAACACACTCAACTCGTACGGGCACGCGCACGCGACTGACTAAAGCTTCATACAATCTTTCCCAATATTTCAAAATAATATCGAGTTATATCATGTTGCTGGGTGCACACCAAAAGCGTGCAACTGATTCCGTGTACATGACACTCCTAAACGGGCGTACCGGTACGCAAGCACAGCCGACCGGTACCACCGCAGACTCCGCTCTCCTTCATACTGCGCCCCATCGTTGCTTCGTCTAGTCGCTGAGTTGACTCACTATTAGTATTTATTACACATATGGTACTAGTAATAATTGTATGAAGCGAATTTACACTTAGTAGGGCTCCCAACCTAGGGGCTTTTCCCCAAATTTATGGGGTAAATAAGTGCGATAGGATTTTTAGGGGCTTTATATTTTTAGGAACTTTTGTATGGGTTTGTGTTTCCATTTTAGTTTCGAAGTTGACGATGATTGCGGTGCAGCTGGCTATAATCGTTTCAGAAATGAATTAAAATTCGGGCTATATGTTTTGCATTTATTATCACGGTGTGATCATGGGTTAATTCATGAAATAGTGGATATTTTAAAACATTTAATTCATTTATTAAAATAATATGTTTATTTTATTATATACAATATTAAAAACTATAATAATAATAATAAAAAAAACTAAAAGTAGAACCTATTTAATATGGAATTGATTTTAATAAATCGGAACCATCAGAAGAAAAGGAATTTTTGTAATATTTCAAGTATTAAATAATTTATATATAAAGAATATTAAAAAAAAACAAAAAATAAATCAAATATTTTTTTATGGGGTTTTCAAGTAATGGAGGCACTTTTAGAGGTTTTTGATTAAACCTTTAAGGGTAAATATTTTTTGGACTTGGCAACACTGACACTTAGTCTATTTTCATGGCTCTATGGTTTTCGGTAGCCATTTGTTATCGTAAGTTGCAGTCTCTCATCGGTAAAAAATGCTGAAATCCGCCACAGGATCCCTTGTAAATGTCCTGAAAAGGTCATTGGTTCCTACAGTTAGGGCCAGTGCAATACAAGTGAGGAGGTCACACGATGGTCCCGTTGAATCCGATGAAGAATTCGATAGCAGGTTAGTTTCTAAAATTTTGACGTTATGTAATGAAATTTGCTGTATCTTATCGAAAGTATTGTTTTTTAGATATTAGCTATTAGCTATTAGAGCTACTCCGGTATTACTTATTACTTTTCTGGTATTATATCATTATATGAACATCTAACAATGTTTTAATTGGGTTAAACATCTCTGCTTCGGTATCGATTATACCGTCATTCTATCGATTTGCCTTGATTTGATATTACGATCCCTAACATGAATTTTTTATCCTACTGATAATCGTTATAGACGAATAATGTTTAGTATTCAATAATAGGTATTCGCAATTATTGCCTTTGTTGCTTTTACGATATTTTTTTTAATTCAAGTATATTATTATTGCTTTCAGATACGAAGCCTTCTTCAACAGAAAAGATATTGATGGCTGGGAGATTCGCCAAGGAATGAACGACTTGTGCGGTATGGACCTTGTCCCAGACCCAAAGATCATTAAGGCTGCACTCCACGCTTGCAGACGAGTAAATGACTATGCTCTTGCAATCCGATTTATTGAGGCATGCAAAAACAAATGTGGTAACAAGGTTAATGAAATCTATCCTTACATCATCCAAGAAATCAAACCCACACTGACTGAACTTGGTATTGAGACTCCGGAGGAACTTGGTTATGACAAACCAGAATTAGCATTGAAAAGTGTTTATGAGGTTTAAGGCTAGCAGAAGTGAGTTAAGCTGTAGAAGAATGTGTATTATAGTTTTTTTTGTTGAATCTATTTTATTGAATTGTGCAAAGCGCATCAGTTTCCGTAAAGTTTTTAGGTTCATCATATAAAAATCAACCAGCTTTTATCTAATGTATTAAACATTAGAAAAACATAGTGTTTCATTTAAGTAGTATACTTTTACCACTTTTTGTACCTCTAATGAGTTATTAAGGTTTTATAACATGGAATTTGCAGTAGCAGGCCAGAGTCAGGGGTAGTGGTTGGTTTATGCCATGGAAAGCACAAAGCTGCTTGTTCTGTCCCTGATCTTTCTATGGTCATGTCAGATTGATGTCCTATTGGACTATGAGATGGAATGTATAGAGGGTGCTCCTATACTTGTACATACACTCATATACTATAATCCTGTGCTGTGTATATAGCTAGTCTCCATTAAGACTGGTAGCCGTGATCTAGATTCAGTCTGGAGAATGTTTATCTTTATTTTTTTTATAGTATAGGGTGACAAACGAGCACACAGTCCAACTACGGTAAGTGGTTGCTGTAGCCCTGTAGACATCTACATCTATCCTCAATAAAGACTCAAGATACAGATGCGTTGTCACCCGTGAGGACTAAGATGGAATGCCTCTTTGCCAGTAAAAAGAGTCTTCGGTTCTCAACACTTACCATACGAAACACACAGCGTTAAGCTGCTATTTTACGCTGGTTTTCTGTGAGAGAGTGGTCCTTCCCCAGGCGAGCCGACCCATTCGTACTACAACTATACTACTAATATAGCTGCAGCATGGCTCTACCACGTAAAAAATGTTACCCTGCTTATGAGCAATATCCACAATTAGGAAAGAATAAACAATTGTACCTAATTGTTGTTAGTATGGTCAGTACTTAAATTGAAACTTGGTGCACTCTCGATTGAAAATCATAATACTTACTCCAAAATTGCTTCCTTAGGAAATAAGTTGTGTGATGAGAATAATTATTCATTATTTGAATTAACCCTACAAGGCACTCAGTACCATATACGGGACAACCACTTTAATGGTTCCTACAGCTCTATGAAATACTAGCAGCGACATCTCATGGTTTTTGAGGGACACGCCGCAAATATAGCAATGATATAACGCAAATAATTGCGTATAGATGTCTTTACTGATCCGATTACTGTCAGTAAACGGTGAAATTTATACCTAAGGTTTGACGTTTGCATAAATTAAATAAATAATAAAATACCGTTACATTAAGGTTTTGATCCGGGAAAAATATTACGTATTGTAAGAAAGTGCTTATTTGGTACAGGTAAGTTAGTTTTTCTATTACTCTATTATATCTATTGATAAATCGTATTTTTATCTATGTTCCACATATGGTACGTTGAGCTTTAGTCTTCCTTTTTACGAATACATACTTAGGAAGAAGTGTACTTATGAATACTTTTATTTGTTAAAGATTATGTCGAGCAAACGATTGCGTGATGAAGATATCTAAGATTTCTTACGTATAGCATCAGGCAGTTAAGATGGCGAAGACTTCTCTGAAGCCGAAAGTGATGAAGACAGAAAAAATTCAGTCTACCATCAGTTTTTTCTCTGAATTCCTTACTGAAATAGAAACATCACCCCAGAAACATCTCCGTTTGTCTCCTGCTAACGAAAAGGCTTATTCATCGAGCGAGCAGCAAATCACAAGCCTTCACTTCAGTTGTGATTTCAGCGAGAACTCCAGGTGGCAATCACGTGAAACGAGACGATCATCGACTTCCGTGCATATTGCTTTTGCTAACAGAACAAGACAACATGGCTCTGCGTCTGTCATCAAAAGGGAGTTTCAGGTTCTTTGCGATGATCGTTACTTTGCTTATGATATTGAATTTTTTTCAGGAATGGAGAACGATCCAGAACTAAGGGATTCAAGTGAGCCAGACTTGGGAGCGAGTTCAAATATCGTTGTACGCTTAGCTAGGTGCATACCCAGGAACCAACAATACAGGATTTTTTTTGATAACTATTAGACGTCACCGGAATTGATTTCGTATTTGGCCAAAGAAGGAATCTTATCGCTGGGGACTGTGAACAAAGGTCGTTTGGGAAAGGATGTTCAAATCCCTTCCCTAAAGGATCTAAAAGAAGATAAGGTAGAGAGAGATTTTTCTGAGGAATGGGTGGCAAATGTTGATGTTACAGACATTGTAACAGTGACGTGGTATGATAACAAACTAGTTGTCTTATCATCGTCTTTCGTGGGTCAAGAGCCAATACAATCAGTAAAGAGGTACTGCAAGAAACAGAAGAAATGTATACAGGTAAATTGTCCGCAAATTGTAAAAAGTATATAATCAGCTTATGGGAGTTATAGACCTACTGGTTTCGTTCCTGGGAAAATATAAAATAAAAATAAAGACAAGAAAATGGTATTTGAGGCTGTTTTATCATTTTTTTGATGTTACTGTAATAAATAGTTGGTTACTGTACAGAATAATTGGGGAGCAAAAGCAAACGCCAATCCCACTAAAGCTAAAGGACTTCAAATTTGACCTAGGAAAAGTCTGTGCATGTGTTGGCCATCAATAATATATCAATCACTAAGAAAAGAGGCAGACTGTCAAGTTTGCCTGATCAAATAGAAATAAAGAGAAAGAAGCCGAATACGACAATCTTACCCCCTCGTGAAGTCAGATGTGACGGGTTTGAGCATTTTCCAATTTGGGGTCAAAAAAGGCAACACTGTAAAGGACCCCGGTTGTAAAGGAAAACATTTATATCATGTGAAAAATGTCGAGTCGAACTCTGCTTCAATAAAGATAATAATAGTTTCAGAAACTTTCACCAATAGGTAATTTAAAAAAAAAAACGTTATTTTGTTATGTTATAATTATTTTGTAATATGTTTATTTAATTATGTTAAGTACACTTCAACATCATTCAAATGGTAACATGTTCCTAAAATAATTTAAAAATAAAAGACTGATTTTCTAGTAAAATATTGGGTTTTGATTTTTTTTATTTTTTTTTTCCCAAGTACTGATTACTAACAACATCACATATATTTTTATTAGCAACGGAAAAAAAATTGAGCCTTGTAGGGTTAAAACTATTGTATCATTTTCATCATGATCATTTGCAGAAATTTTTCAGGTTGGCTTTAGTATTTAGTGGGACAACTTTGTTGGTGAATTTGGTCTCAATCAATGCACAAAAATCATAGACATATGGCATAGCCAGTGTATACGCAGAAATTTGTAGTTTTCAAGAAATTATAAAGTTTTGAGTAAAACCAAAAATAACTAGACAATATCTTGTGGTACGATTTAGTAGATGATTTGCTCTTAATCATACAATAACTTCAGATGCACACCTTTTTATATGAAAGTATGAAGTTTTCAAGAAATTATATTTAAAATTTTGTACATAATTTTTTCATCATCATTACATCATATCATCATTACATCCCTTCACAAGTCCACTGCTGAACATAGGTCACCCCCAAGGAATGCCACAAAGCATGGTTCTTAGCCACCTGCATCCATTGACTTCCTGCATGTCTTACCAGATTGTCACTCCCCTAGTTGGGGGACGCCCTACACTTCGTCCGCCGGTACGAGGCTGCCACTCAAAAACCTTTTTTCCCATTGGTTGTTGGTTCTTCAAGCTATATGGCCGGCTCATTGCCACTTCAACTTACTAATCTGTTGGGCTAAGTCGGTCAATCTGGTTCTACTGAGGATATCCTCATTTTTAAGTTTATCACACAAAGAAACTCCAAGCATAGCCCTCCATAGGTCGCTGAGTGACCTTGAGCTTCCTCATCCGGCCAGCATTGAAGGACCACATCTCAGTTCCATAGGTCATCACTGGCAACACACACTGGTTGTACAATTTCGTTTTCAGGTTTTGAGTTATGTCTAACGATAAGATGTGTCATAGTTTCCCGAACGCTGCCCAGCCGAGTTGAATCCGTCGATTGACCTCTCGGTCGAAGTTGGACGTATCTAGTCGGCTTATTTGCGCTAGGTAAACCTACTCGTCAACAACTTTGAGCTTAGTGCTCCCAACAACAACCGGCATAGGTGCGACATTGACATTATACATGATCTTTGTTTTGTCCGTTCATCTTAAGACCTATCCTTTGGGATGCACTATTGAGGTCATTGAGTATAGTGCTAAGGTCCTCCAGCGATTCTGCTATATGGATTATATTATGAGCAAATTGAAGGTGAGTGAAGTGGCCGCCGTTGATGTTAATATCGTATCCTTTCCAGTCCAGAAGCTTGAAAACGTCTTTCAATGCAGCGGTGAAGGATCTGTACTCGGATAGCCATTGTAGCCCTACTGCACAAACACTTCAGTACTTCGATATACTGACAGTCAACTTGGCACCGCTGGAGGGACTGCAGCACCGCCCAAATTTCAACGGAATCAAAGGCTTTCTCATAGTCCGCATACCCAAGGCAAAGTGGCACATTATACTCTTAGTCTTCTGAACAATCTGCTGCAGGGTATGTATTTGGTCCATGGTACTAAAGCCTTTTCGGGAGGCTGGAATTCGTCAAAGTCTGCGTGCGAGACGATTCGTAATGACTCTCGAAAACAGTACGTAGACGCGGCTCACAAGGGAAATCGGTCTGTAGTTCTTCAAGAGAGCGTTGTCGCCTTTCTTGAAGAACAAGACCACCGCACTTCTGCTCTACGCGCCTCCGGTGTAGAGTCATCATGGAGGACGGAGTTAAAAAGCTTCTGAAGGACTTCAAGTACCGGCTTTCCACCCGCTTTCAGAAGCTCCGCTGTAATTCCATCCTCGCCTGGGGCCTTGCCGTTTTTAAGGTGCTGGAGAGCCATTCTAATCTCGCTCAGACTGACCGTCCGAAATATCATCGGAATAGTGTCGGATAAGAATTAGGGAATTAATGAAATATATTATAGATAGTAATTGACATAATAATATATAAAAATATAATACCAGAAGTAAGAAATTATTGTGCTTCAGTCG